ACGGCAGTAGAGGGGAGAATAAATTCTCCCCAAACTCTCTTTTGGGGTGTCTAAATGTGCATGGTTGTAGTACGATAGAGAGCAAAAGATGTGAGATTGGATATATGTTTGGTAGGAGGAGGATGGATGTATTGGCATTGTGTGAGACGAAGATGAAAGGAAAAGGAGAAGTGGCATTTGGTGATGTGACAGGTAGGGTGTCTGGGGTTGAAAAGGAGAGAGCGAGAGAAGGTGTGGCATTATTGCTGAGTGAATGGATGGTAAATAAGGTAGTGGAATGGAAAGAAGTGTCATCTAAGCTGATGTGGGTGAGGGCTAGGATAGGTAGGGAATGTTGGGCTTTTGGTAGTTCTTATGGGCCAGGTTGTGAGAGAAGCGATGAAGAGCGGGATGAATTCTGGAATGAGTTAACTAGGTGTGTGGGTGGTCCAAGTGAAAGGAACTATGTAGTTGTGTTGGGTGACTTGAATGCTAGAGTGAGTGATGGAGAGGTAAAAGGTGTTGGAGGAAAGTATGGGGTACCAGGTGGGAATGAGAGTGGCGAGAAACTGTTAGATATGTGTGGAGCAAGAGTTGGTAAGAGGTAATAATTTTTTCAAGAAGTTAATAAATTAGTATACATGGATGAGAGTGGCAAATGGAAGAGTGAAAGAAAGAGCATTGATGGATTATGTGTTGGTAGCAAAGAGCATGATTGGTAGAGTAAAAGATGTGGATGCATTTAGGGATGTGGCTGCTGGGATGTCTGATCATTTTTTGGTTGAAGCAAAGGTGGTAGTAGCAAAAGAGTGGGGAAACCGAGTGGGGGGATGTAGAAGGGAAATAGTGAAGGAGGAAAAGTTGAAAGTGCCAAAGAAGAGACAGGAATATCAGGACAGGTTGAGATTGGCATATGACAGGGTGAAAGAAAGAGAAGTTGGGGAGTTAGAGGAGGAATGGACGTTGATGAAAGAATGTTTTGTGGGACATGCAAGTGATGTGTGTGGAAAGAGGATTGTTGGAGGTGGCATGAGGAGGGGCAGCGAGTGGTGAAATGAAGGGGTAAAAATGAAGGTGGAAGAGAAAAAGAGGGCTTTTGAGGAATGGCTGCAGTGTAAAAGTAGGGAGAAGTATGAAAGATATAGGGAGAAAAATGCGGAAACCAAGCGGAAGGTAGAGGAAGAAAAGAGGTTGGCAAATGTTAGGTGGGGACAGGACTTTGGTAGGTCATATGAGGAGAATAAAAAGAAGTTTCGGAAAGTAGTGAAGAGAGTAAGGAAGGGTGGATCGAGGATGGAAGAGACAGTGAAAGATGTGAATGGACAGATGTTAAGAAGGAACGATGCAAGGAAGAGATGGGCAGAATATTTTGAGTGCTTGCTGAATGTTGAGGAATATAGAGAGGCAGCTATAGTGGCAGTGGGGGGTGTTCATGTTGAGGAATATAGAGAGGCAGCTATAATGTCAGTGGGGGGTGTTCAAGTGCCAGTAATGGGAGATAATAATGAGAGAGAGATTACAAGAGAGGAGGTGAAAAGGGCATTGTATGAAGCAAAAGCTGGTAAAGCACCTGGTATGGATGGTGTGAGAGAGATGTTGAAAGAAGGGGGTGTGACTGCATTGGAATGGTTAGTGAGAGTGTTTAGTACATGCTTTATGTTGTCAATGGTGCCAGTGGAATGGGTGATTGCTTGTATAGTGTCCCTATACAAAGGTAAGGGAGATGTGTATGAATGCAGTAAATTTTAGGGGTATAAGTTAGTTGAGTGTGGTAGGAAAAGTGTACAGTAGGATACTGGTTAATAGGATTAAGGATAAGACAGAAAATGTGATTGTGGAAGTGCAGAGTGGTTTTAGGAGAGGTAGAGGTTGTATAGATCAGATTTTTATAGTTAGGCAGTTATGTGAGAAATATTAAAGGGGAAGGATTTGTATTTTGCATTTTTGGATCTGGAGAAAGCGTATGATAGAGTTGATAGAGAGGCAATGTGGAATGTTTTGAGATTATATGGAATTAATGGTAAATTGTTGCATGCAGTGAAGAGCTTGTATGAGGGCAGTAGAGCTTGCGTTAGGGTAGGGAATGAAGTGAGTGATTGGTTTCCAGTGAGTGTGGGACTGAGACAGGGATGTGTGATGTCACCATGGCTGTTCAATTTGTATATTTATGAAGTTGTAAGACAGGTAAATGAACGAGTACGTGGTCGAGGTTTAAGAATGGTAGATGCGGATGATAACAAGTGGAAGCTGAATCAGTTGCTGTTTGCAGATGATACTGTGGTGGTGGCATATTCAGAAGAGAAGCTGTGTCAGTTAGTGTCAGAATTTGGAATGGTGTGTGAGAGAAGGAAGTTGCGAGTGAATGTGGGAAAGAGTAAGGTTATGAGGTGTACAAGAAATGAGGATGGTGCTGGATTGAATGTTATGTTGAATGGAGAGACACTTGAGGAAGTTGATCAGTTTAAGTATTTAGGCTCGGTTATAGATGCAAATGGTGGAGTGGAAGCAGATGTGTGTCACAGAGTGAATGAAAGATGTAAAGTGTTGGGTGCATTGAGAGGAGTGATGAAGAATAGAGGGTTGGAAATGAATGTTAAGAAAGTTCTGTATGAGAAAGTGGTTGTGCCAACTGTGATGTATGGATCAGAGTTATGGGGTATGAAAGTAAGTGAGAGACGGAAATTAAATGTGTTTGAGATGAAATGCCTGAGGAGTATGATTGGCAATCTCGGTTGGATAGGGTTAGGAATGAAGCGGTGAGAGCAAGAACTGGTGTGGAGGAGAGAATTGGCAGCCAGAGTAGATATGAATGTTCTGAGATGGTTTGGCCATGTGGAAAGGATGGATGATGAAAGACTGCTGAAAAAGGTGATGAATGCGAGAGTTGATGGGAGAAATGCTAGAGGGAGGCCTAGGTTTGGATGGATGGATGGAGTAACGAGAGCCCAGAATGATAGGAGTATAGATGTGAGGGAAGCAAGAGAGGAATAGGAATGAGTGGCGAGCGATTGTGAAGCAGCTCTGATGGGCATCTGCTGTTCCCTCGGGGCTGCATCTTACAGAGGTATCCCTGTGGTAGGGGCAGTAGGGGAGTTGGCAGTTATGAAGCGACACAGGTTGTGGAAGAGCCGGGAGGATTGGCTGTGGTACTCCAGCAGTGCCATCTAAACGGTCGCTAGCTCCCTCGTCATTGCCCATAGAGCAAAGTAGTCCCCTTATTGTTTTCTTTCTTTGATGTAGATCACTCGTGGTTTTGTTTTCGCATTTACTTCAACTCCCAATCTCATTCAGCACATATGTGAAAACATGAATCATTTTTACCTTGACCAGACTGGGACTTGAACCTAGGACTTATAATTACTAAGCCAAGCCGACACCAACTACACCACAGAAGGTTAAAAGGAAGCAGACCTTATAGCTTATATCTGCTATACAGTACTTAGGAATGAACGCATTCTATATGAAAGCCTCTATGTTCATATTACAGTTTCCCCAACCTCACTCGTGGTTTCGTTTTCGCATTTAATTCAACTTATAATCGCATTCAGGACCAACAATAACCAAATAAGCACACTGCATATGTGAAAACATGAATCATTTTTACTCCGACCACACTTGAACCTAGGACTTATAATTACTAAGCCAAGGCGCTAACAACTACACCACAGAAGGTCTTAATAGGGAAACACACCTTACAGCTTTTATCTGCTATACTAGGGATGAATGCATTCTATCTGAATGCCACTCTGTTCATTTTACAGTTTCCCCAAACCTCACTCAAGGCTTTGTTTTTGCATATAATTCGACTCCCAATCTCAGTTGGGACCAACAATAATCAAATAACCAATTTACCATCAGTGAAAACATGAATAATTTTTACCCCTACCAAGATTTGAAGCTGGGACTCATAATTACTGTGCGAAGGCACTACCAACTACACCACAGAAGGTCTAAAAGGGAGACAGACCTTTCAGCTTATAACTGCTAAATAGGAAAGAACGCATTCTATCTGAATTCCACTCTGTTCACATTACAGTTTCCCCCAACCTCACTCATGGCTTCGTTTTCACATTTAAATTAACTCCCAATCTCATTCGGAACCAACAATAATCAATTAAGAATATTACCATATGTGAAAACATGAATCATTTTAACCTCGACCGGGACTTGAACCAAGGACAAAATTACTGTGCCAAGGTGCTACCAACTACACCACAGAAGGTCTAAAAGGGAAATAGACCTTACAGCTTTTACACCAGTCTGGTTAAAAATGATTCATGTTTTCCCATACGGTAATGTGCTTAATTGATTATTGTTGGTCTCTAATGAGATAGGGAGATGAATTAAATGCGAAAATGAAGCCATGAGTGAGGTTGGGGGAAACTGTAATATTAACAGAATGGCATTCATATGGAATGCATTCAACCCTAGTATAGCAGATATAAGCTGCAAGGCCTGCTTCCTTATTTGACCTTCTGCGGTGTAGTTGGTAGCCCCTTGGCTAAGTAATTATACGTCCTAGGTTTAAGTCCCGATTGGGGTAACAATGATTCATGTTTTCACATAAAGCAATGGGCTTATTTGATTTTTGTTGGTCCCGAATGAGCTTGGGAGTTAAATTAAATGCGAAAATGAAACCACGAGTGAGGTTGGGGGAAACTGTAATATGAACATAGTGGTATTCAGATAGAATGCGTTCTTTCCTATTTAGCAGTTATAAGCTGAAAGGTCTGTTTTCCTTTTAGACCTTCTGTGGTGTAGTTGGTAGCGTCTTATCTTAGTAATTATAAGCCCTAGGTTTAAGTCCCTTTCGGGGTTAATATAATTCATGTTTTTATATATGGTAATGTGCTTATTTGATTACTGTTGGTCCCCAATGAAATTGGGAGTTGAATTAAATGCGAAAACAAAACCATGACTGAGGTTAGGGGATACTGTAATATACACATAGTGGCATCCAGATAGAATGCGTTCATTCCTAGTATAGCAGATATAAGCTGTAAGGTCTGTTTCCCTATTAGACCTACTGTGGTGTAGTTGGTAGCACCTCAGGTTAGTAATTACAAGTCCTAGGTTCAAGTCCCAGTCGGGGTAAAAATGATTCATGTTTTCATTTAAGGTAATGTTCTTATTTCCGAATGAGATTGGGAGTTGAATTAAATGCAAAAGCAAAACCACATGTGAGGTTGGAAGAAACTGTAATATGAACATAGTGGCATTTAGATAGAATGCATTCATTCCTAGTATAGCAGATATAAGCTGTAAGGTCTGTTTCCCTTTTAGACCTTCTGTGGTGTAGTTGGTAGTGCCTTGGCTTAGTAGTTATAATTCCTAGGTTCAAGTCCAAGTCAGGGTAAAAATGATATATATATATATATATATATATATATATATATATATATATATATATATATATATATATATATATATATATATATATATATATATATATATATCCCTCGCTATTTCGCGGATCACCTATCGCAAATTTAGTGCATCGGAAATTTTTTTGGCAAGAAAAAAAATTAATATGAAAAAAAAAAAAAAAAAGATTATTGTGACACCAGGATGGGCCAAAAAATGATAAAATAATACAGCCTTTATCAGACAGTAGAAAGAGAAACAGAGATGGAGAGTGTAATGACCTGTCAGATGTGAAGGGATTATAAAAGATGTGTAATGAATATCCAGTTCTCAGCTGGGTTTTAATATACCTCTGCATTACTTTCATGATGACTATTCCAATAATTATCCTTAGATTTTATTATTATTATTATTACTATTATTATTATTATTATTATTATTATTGGGGACAATAATTTTCCTTTGATGATGATTGTGGAGATTATTATTATCATTATTATTATTATTATTTTTACCATTATTATTATTATTGTTATTATTATTATGTTTATTATTGTTATTTTTATTATTGTTATTTTTATTATTATTATTATTATTATTATTATTATTATTATTATTATTATTATTATTATTATTAAGGGTTAATCATTGTTTGTACATCTGTTGGTTTATTTTACTTTAATAACTGTGTACAGTGCCCCTCCCTAGTTGGCTGGGACAAAGAGAGTGTGGGAGGTTGGGTAGAATAGAATGTTGAGAGAGAGAGAGAGAGAGAGAGAGAGAGAGAGAGAGAGAGAGAGAGAGAGA